GGCGGGATCCAAGTTCCGATGGCCCCAGAATGGGGTCCCCCTCCTTTGACGGCCCCTTTTTGGGTCAGCGGTGCTGACTGGGCTTCCTGACCATCAACAGCTGCTTGAAGGTCTGAGGCGACTGTGGCAAGGCGTAGAACTGCCTCAAAGCCGGGAGCTTTCAGTGCTTTTCAGTGCTTTTCAGTGCTTTGAGGCTTTAAAAATATCGGATTCTTTCAAAGGAATATATAAATAGGTCAAAGCCCCGAAATGCCAAGTGCCCAGTTCTTCCAAGTCCTGTTTCTGGCGTTGTTCTTCCAGTTCAAGGTCTTGTTGATCCAACAAGAATGGGTCACAGGGCTGAGGGGTTGTGGGTCGAGGGTCGCTTCGAAGAAGCCGGTGTACAACGACTCTGTTGGGGGTTTGGGCCTTTCGAGGAGGGTGCTGGGCATATCACCATCCCATGTACCCATCAAAACACCCACGACGCGTTCGCCAAGAAACCTACCGTCTCACCGTTCGCCAAGAGACCCTGGATTCATGCGAGATGGGACCACAAAATCCCGTGCACCTTCAGGTGTCGACTTAATGAGCACGGGTGTCTCGATCTCCTGAGACGGTGAGATGGTGAGTCGACACCAAGCTGGCCGCGATCCTAAATCCTGCCGTGTTCACTGGGAAGACAGTACTTATTGAGGCCTGGAACAGGTTATGTTAACTCTTATTCTCGTTAGCACAAAATCTCCACATCTTCAAGGAGCTGAGTTCATATCAGTCCCTGCACTCGACCTCTTGAACTCGCAAGATAAGGACCCCATTTGGGATCCATCAAGTGGTTGAAGAACCACCTTCTGCCCTTTCTGAAAGCCAAGGTGCGCAAAACTCCAGGTCACCCAAATACCTAAGAGGCCATGACGTACGGTCCGACACGAAGTTTGTGCCAAAGGACATGAAATCCTTTTGCTGGAGGTCAAACCATCTCCATATTTCACCATCCAAAAGGTCGGACGTTTCAGCATATTTCACGCGCATGCAGAAAGCAGCTCTACTCTCCCATCAATCCGAATGCTGAACATCATCTTCTGTCCTCAACTTATGAAAAATTATACCAACATAGACCCCAACAGTAAACTGTTTGGGGAATAATATGGTAAAGTAGAACATGCGATAGACTAATAGACGTCCAAAAGCCATGAAAATATCCACCTGAAAATGACACGCCGATGCCCCAGCTTTGCTGCGTCCCAGGCTGCTCTCGCACTTCTCGGGTGACTTTGTTGCGGAGGAGCAAGGCGTCCTTGATGGGATTTCGTCGGATGTCCAAGTAGCCTCAAGGATGCCAATTTGCTGAGACCCTAATTAAGAAGCTACTAGTAACAAGGTGCCACGCTAGTAGTAACAAGTGCCTTACTAGTAGTAACAAGAAGCTACTAGAAACAAGTGCATGGCACGTTGCATGACGGTCAGCGACCCGATGACACCAACAGCGACCCATTGGACCCCCCTTGGAGCCGTTGGATCAAACCGGACCAAGTCGCGGTATCGCATCCGGGTGTCCTGGATGTCTGAGCCAAAGGCGTCACTCCGACACTCCGAGGGTTTTGTCGCCTGGTGGAGTCTCTGTGGGAAGTCATTCTTCAACAAGACACTCTTCCTGCAGAGTGATCGTTGGTTTGTGAAACTTGGGAAGCGTTGGTTTGCGAAGAAGTGTCAGTTGCTCACATCTCGATCGCATTGCTCTTTGCTCCTCATTGGCATCGGTCACATCCTCGATCTTAAAGGGTGGCGTGGCGCTGGCATTCCTCAGATCCAACGGATTCGACGGACCTTCAACCCTGGGATTTCAAGCAGCATGTCACAATCTTCAAACATCAGCCCCCATGACTTAGGAAAGCTCATCACCGAACATGTGGTGAAAGGTATTTTGCTCTTAGCCGCCCGGGTACCGCGCATGCGTCGGGTTTTGGAATGTTTGTTGATGCATCATATACAGGCTTGGCGAGTCTAGCCATGTCTCTCCCTGAGGCAACCCTATACATCTCAAAATGTGGGGAGTTGATCATCCATGCCCCTCGACTTCGGACCATCAGGACAGACCCCCCAAAAAGGCGCTACTAGTACCAATATCTACCAATGACCACTTGGGAGACTGGTGCTCAGTAGCTACAAAGTGAATGAGGTGATCATCGACCCCCTGATATATAGATCCTAGCAGCTGCTCGGCCCAAAATCCGTTGTATTGCCAAGAACCATGACCGTCCGGGGACGCACCAAGATCCACATTCCGGTGTTCCAATCCGAAGTCCACGGAATGTCCTCAGAGATCTCATGCCGGGCGTCAAGATCTCCATGGACTCAGCCACGATCTCGATCTCGCCAGTCCTCAGGTTCACGCGTTCCAACTGCGGGCTCCAGGTGGGTCCGGTCAAAATGCCGAACCGAAGATGTTTCAAGTGAAGCATCCGCAGAAATGCAAGAAATGAAGCATCACTCATCAAGAGTCGTTAGGTTTTACAGGTCCTCCGAGCTGTGTTCAGCCTGCGGAGCTCCGTTCGCCGTCCGGTGCCGTGAGCCGGCCGTGAGCCGCCGAGGCACGCTCGGTCCTTGTTTTTGGCACTCCGTTCGACCACCTTGCAGCGGATGGAGTCGAGGGGGTGGAGGAAGGTTGGAGGCAGTACCCCCGCGGCTGAGCCAGTAGGGCACGAAGATTGCTCGCCCAATTCCCATACGACAACAATGCATCTTGGGGCATGATGGGCACATGGTTTCCGAACTCCGAACTCTTTCGCCAAACCAAAAAAAGAGGATTGGAACTCTCGGACGTCGAAGGACCGGCACCCACTCTTCCAAGAGTCTGGCACAAGCCCGGTCCACTGACGACAGAATTCTCACTCATCTGCTCGTAGGCCGTCTAAACGAAACTGCCATGGAAACCCCCATCGCTTCGAGAAGCACGCTGGCCGTCCCCCAGCCTCGCCTTGCCCGTGACCTGCACCGGACGTGGCAGCTCAACGGGTTTTGGATCACTCCGTGGCTCCAGCCCAGTCAAGGCTTAGCTTGCTGATTGTGCAAAGCACCAATCCCAAGCTGCCAAGCAGGAGAACCTTTTGTACTCACCATGCAAGGAAGGGGTTGAATATCCTCGAAGTACAGTCCAAAAACCGTGGGGTCACTCAGTGGTCACTCAAAGATTCCAATGTCTTAATTTTGTTGGCAACTTGTCCTGCCGTCCCCTCCTTAAATCATGACGGAACTCTGAGGCCTTCATCTTCCCTCTCTGTCACTCACGCGGCCACAGCTTCGGAGAAAAGGCAAAAAAGAAACGCCTTCACGACATACTCCCGACCCACATTCTTGGCTTGAGTATATCTGTCCAAGGCTTTCTCATCCGAAGCATCCTTGGGCACGAGGCAAGCAATGCCCAGGCCGCCCAGATTCGATCGCTCCACATCGCCCAGTGGCGAGGGGGTTTGTCCACAAACTTGGAACTTGACACTCTGTTGAGACAAGGACTTTGGCATATCAACCGGGAAAAGATCACTTCAACAACATATGTCTACGACATGAAAACGACCACACCTTTCAAGACCAAGCGCCCAAGTCATCAAGATGTTTGTTGGAATTGCTCCACCTCCTGATTCCCACCTACTACACATCACGCTAGAGTACTGTTTGCAGCTTTTCGCGTTGGAGACAAACAGCGTGCGAGTCGGGTCAGTTCAAAGCCCTTTCTCCATGCTTAGTGCCAAGTGCTCTCTATGGCCTCCCGTCCTCTTACGATGAACACAAAGACATAGAAAAGGATGTCGCTCTTGAACATGTAATGCAAGTGAAATACATATGCAAAGGCAAAAAGACGCATCATGTCTTTATCATCTGGATATGCGCCACCCCAGTCAGGAAACACATGGAAATGCACCAATGACCCATCCTTCCGCTTCCACATTCCCGCTGTGCCTTCGGGAAAATCACCTGGCATGAAAATCTGGTGGGGTGAAACCCCAGAACATCTGCAAAGCACCACGACGAAAACTGCGATCAACCCACTTTCCTGGAGTATGCCATTCTTCACTTGATGGTGATCCGGTTCCCCACAAATGATCTGTTTGAGGGTCTCGGGAGGATCTGTGCTCCTGTACTTACCCGGTCTACAACGGGCAGAGGCTCCAGCTCCGCCCCCACGCGTGTTTCGCGCTGGCGCGCGTGCGCGGGCACGCGGCCTGGGTGATGCCGTAGCGGTCCCGGAGGTCCACGAAGGCGAAGTGGTTCATGTCGCGGGACATCTGCACCCATCCCGAGATGGTCACCGTCTGGCCCACGTGATCGAGCCTTGAGAACCCAAGGATGGAGTGGACGAAAACGGGTCAGGGAGGGAGGAGCCAATTCCAGAACTCCCTGTCTGGTGTGGGGCATCAGCTTGCTCTAAAAAGACTATATACTCAGCAATGCATGGGCTAGCGGCTAGTTTTTACAGTAGCCAGTGGCTGGCCAGGGTCAGCCCCATAACTCTCAAAGGGACAGGCCATGTCCCCCACAGACCAAAAAATCCCCAACCAAAACAGCAGTGACAACAGTGAATAAAATGTTAATTGGATTCTCAGCTCATCTGCCCGAAGGATGCCGTGAAAGAATCCGACTCGTAAAGCGCAAGAAGGTCTGCCCTCCCTGCCAGCCCTGCCCAGCTCCTTTAGCCACAGCTCCGCAGCTCCCCGCAGCTGTGCGTCCGGTGCCCCGTCCGCAGCTCCGGCATGGCGCCCGGCGCCCAACGCGCGCGCGCACCGCGCACCGCGCCCGTCGCGCGGCAGCTGGGCTGAATGGACTGGTCCAAGCCGAGGCAGCCGAGGTCTTCTTTTCAACCGGAGGGAAACCTGCCAACTCCGTGCATATCAGCGAAATCAGCCAGGCTCACAAAAGCCACAACTGTGCCAAGGTCTCTTGTTGCAAAACAAAACCTGAGACCCTGAGAGAGAGGGAAAGTGTTCATTGGGACAGGTTTCTGGCAACAGCCAGGGCGCCCCGGCATGAGCCCAAAGCTCTGCCACCTGGCAGTGGGTTGCACGGTGGTGTGTGGCGCGATTTGCAGGGTCGTGTGACGAATTAGGGCTCGGGCTCCACAGGACCAGCTGCCCACTGGAGGCGTTGCTTGCATGAATTGGGTGGTGCGACTCCACCTGGGTCCACTCTTGTTTCTAGCCTGCGGGCTACGCAACAAAACTTTAGGTTGGCAACTCCTCTGAGATATTTTTGGAGGTTTACACTTCATCCATTGAGTACTGCACTTATGATACAGGCATAAGACCTGACCTGGACCTGTCCCACTGCTGTCACTGACTTCTGCCCTAGGTCTCTGTTTCCGCAAGGAACACTTCAAGATTTAGCCCAAGTCGCATGGACATGTTTGTTGATCAGGCCTGATCAGGGTTGTCTGATCACGAACCCAAAGCTACTCCCAAGAACACAGCTTGGTCCAGTATCGCAGCTCACAGAATGTTGGGGTGTTCAGGAGTTTTTGGAGCCTGAAGCTGTTCCAAGCAGAGTCGTTTCGGGTGACCACCAATATTGTCCTGCAAATTGAATGGTCATTTCAGCAGCCAGCTGTTTTAGGCGTCTTTAGAACCCCAAAAACGCACCAAAATCCACTCAGGACGAGCAACAAAAGCCCACTTGTTGGGACATGTCCCCCAGTTGGACACCAAACTTTTGAATCCGTCCGTGTGCGAGCTCTACGAGTTCCGCGCCCGGAGGAGGTCGTCGTCCAGGAGGCCCTCGTGGCGTGTCTCCGGGTGTGAACTGGGATTGATAGGCCAATTCACTACACCTCAGCATGAAAAGAAACATGAAGGGCCGAAAAACCAACATGCTTTCTCTCTCTTCCCCAAAGAACTGAAGACGACCGAAGTAGTCGCTTCTTCGCCCATCTCCCACCTGCTCTGCGAGTGGCCGCTCCAGGTCCAACACGCAGCCGTCCGGCCGGACCAGCCTCAGGTCCTCCCGCCAGGGCAACGGAGCGCGCCGGCGGTGTGACACACACGGTCCATCCCTCGATGTCCAGGAGCAGGAGGGAATTGATGTTTGGATATTGTACTCCTATTGGCTTTGTCATGCTTTGTCCATGGCAGGGCTGAACCTGCCCAGTTAAGAATTCTGATGAAAACTGTCGACCCTGCATCGAAAAGACTCTGGCTGGGCAGCGGCGAATGCCGTCCAAATGCCAGCTGAAAACGGAGCGTCAGTCGACTTCGGTTGGCACACATGATACGAATCCCGAACGAGGCCTTTGGATTTCTTCGAAAAGAAAATGGGCGCCATCGCATCTGGCATTAAACTCCTATTAGTGGCGACCTTCGACTAGGAAGCATCTCCAGATCTGTTCCGTGCTGCTTCAGATCTATATATTCCAACTCTGGATTTGCTACAAAAGTTCATGGCGGAAGAACCTAAGGTGGAGATGTTCAACAAACGGAAGAACCTAAGGTGGAGATGTTCAACAAACGGGGGCGGGGACAGCAGGACAAATCGAGGTCGATCTTCCTCTGAAGAATTTCACACACACTCCACAAGACTCGGCGTCTGGGTTTGTCCTCCGGTAGCATGTATTTTTTCTTCAACGGAAGCATCTTGGTGAGAATCGCCTGGCTGTAACACCCACCCACGGAACCACATCTGCTTCGCCAGCCGGTATGGGCAACTGAAAACTGAGAGCTTGGATCAACAGTCATACTGAATCACAAAGTTT